TAAAAAAAAAAAAAAAAAAGGATATATTGTATTTTTGATCAACTGTACAGCTAACAGCTAGACTGCTATCTGCTGGTCACTGGGTGGACGGACACTCACAAATAGAATCAGATAAGAGCCAAGGTGCCACAAAGAGCAAAAGACAGTCTTATTAAATTTAGATAATTTTTTAAAGACGATCATTTCACATTGACATTATTTCATTAAGAAAATAGAAGAAGCTATTATATTTATATTTATATATATAAGGGAACTATTTCCTTAAATGTCTTACCAATGTTTCCTTCTTTACTGGAGCTGTTAAGCACAAAGAAAATTAAGTAAATAAACAGATCATTCAATATTATATGAATCTACTTATATTCAATTATTGATCAGTTATTATTGAGAATGTTTTGTTTTAAATTTGTAAACAATAATGCCAATAATCTTTCACTGATCATGGCTTTTGAAAGGTTAAAAACTCGACATTCATTTCACCTTTGAAACATCAAGATTACAGTGTTTATCCAGCAGTTTTGCAAAAACACTATCTTTAAAATTAAAAATGGCAAAGTTCAGCTAGTGCAAAGGGCATGGGTTTGATTTTGGCATTGGTGGGGACATAATGGCAGACAACAATTGTTTGATCAAAATTACTGCGAGGGACAATCTAGTAGTCGATGGATATTGGTAGGGACACGTCATAGCGTCTCTACTAAATTCTACGCTTTTGAAAATCATAACAAGCGATGTCTGACTTTGGAAATTTGTCTTTGGATTGTTTGACTACTCGAAAGAGAATATAGGAAAATATAACTTAATTAATTTGTGTTTCCTACTAGCTAGATTTCACATAAATAAACAAAAATCTGGTTCTAAACCTCTCTTTTCTTTATCCAAAGTTGATCTAGACAAGTACATGGAAACTATCCAAAGTTCTGTTAATCCTAAAGCAGTCAAAACTGCATCTCTATATTCATCCTATGTCTTTTTAAGATAAAAAAACATGGTTACTATAGTAAAACCATGGTAACCACAAATTAACCAAGGTTTTGCTACAGTTTAACCATGGTATTTGTAGTAAAACTCTGGTTATGCAAAAAAAAAAAAACATGGTTACTATACTTTAGCCTATACTATAATAAAACCATGGTTAAAAGTGATTTGTATTTACTCCGAAGTCCCGATCTGAATCAAATGATTCGCGATACATGCTTGGAGGTCCCGATCTGAATCAAACGATTCATGAACCCGCTCCGAACTTCCGATCTGAATCAAAAGATTCCCGAACCATCATTTTAGATCGGGACTTCGGAGCGCAGAGCGCAAATCATTCAATTTGCGAAATGATTTGCGAATCCGCTCCGAAGTTCTGATCTGAATCAAATGATTTGCGATACGAGCTCCTAAGTTCTGATCTAAATCAAATGATTCGCGAACCCGCTCGATCTAAATCATATGATTCGTGATACGCGAAATTCCGATCTAAATCAAATAAATTCACGAACCCCCACCGAAGTCCCGATCTGAATCAAAAGATTGGCGAACCCACACCGAATTTCCGAAATCAAATGATTCGTGAACCATAATTTCAGATCAGGACTCGGAGCGCGGATCGCAAACCATTCAATTCGCGAAATGGTTTGCGAATCCGCTCCGAAGTCCCGATCTGAATCAAATGATTCAGAATCAGAATCAGAATTAGCTTTTTTGCCAGGTATGTTTACACATACGAGGAATTTGTTTTCGTGACAGAAGCTTCCACAGTGTAACAGAATGACAGTGACAGAACAAAAAAACACAGATAATAAAAAAATAAAAAAATAAGGAATAAAAATATACAAATTGACAATTGTATGTACAGGTATAGAACAATAGACAGTTGTATGTACAGGTATATTATGTGCAAATTGAAATATACACCGGCTCTCTTCCCCCGTCTGCGCGTCCTGAAGTGCTTGATCAGCGCCGCAGCTCCCCCGACTACAATGTCCAGCAAAACATCAGAATAATCGAAAACCGGTGAAATATTGGGTGGTGTGTACTTCCGAATGTCCAGCAATTCGTCTCTGGTGAAACTGATTGCAGGGATATAACTAAAGACAGGACAAACTAACAAAAACATAAAAACAACTGCGGAGCACACCACGGAGGCAGCCATCAACATCGGCGCCATCGCGAAGAAAAAAACGCGATAAATAAAATACCATTTATCCAATGGTATGACCTATTCGCGAATCTGCTCCGAAGTTCCGATCTAAATCAAATGATTCACGATCTGCGCTCCGAAGTTCCCATCTGAATAATGATTTGCGAACCATAATTTCAGATCAGGACTCGGAGCATGGATCACGAATCATTCAATTAGCCAAATTCAATTAAATCAAATGATTTGCGAACCCGCACCGAAGTTCCGATCTAAATCAAATGATTCGCCATCCACGATTCGCGATCCACGATCCACGCACCGACTGTGCCCATGTATTATACTGTATGTGCAGTTTTCTAGCATATTTACTTTAAATTCTCAGGTTATCTCAATGGTATGACCTATTGCAGATGCGGCCAAAATTAAAACAACAAGTGATATATTTAATTGTTTGATAAAAATTATTGCTATAGGGACAATTTAGTAGTCGCTGGATATTAGTAGGGACATGTCAGGAGCATCCCTACTAAATTCTGCGTCCTTGGCTAGTGCACTGCAAAAATAGATTTTTTTTTTTTTTTGAAGATTATTGCAATACGTTTTACAAGAAAATATAGATTCAGTCTTTCAAAATCAAAATTAAATTTTTTTTTATTTGCCATTTCTTTGTAATTAATTGTGAAATTTGCTATCAATTTCTGAGTGAAAATTGCTTCGAAGGAAATCCTACACCAGATTTTTTTTTTCAGTGATGTGAAAACAACATGACTCTGATGTTGCTGCAATTGATACACAACTCTAAGTGTGCAGTTCATATTTCCTTCCAAGACAATGTTTTTATAGCGCTGATAATTTAATAGAGATCTCAGTTATGTCTTATTTAAATATCAAATTTCTCCTAACAGTCTTGGGAGTCAGTAGTTGACATACAGTAAGACTACAGAATGAATGTTGGAGAGCCGCTCAGATCATTTGATCTTCTCTAGAGGAGAAACATGAGATTACTGGAAATTTTGCAAAAGCCTCAATTTGTTTCTCAATCTTGTCTAGTAAAGCGATATCATTTGTGATTTTTCTTTCCTGTGGGTCGAAGCGTTCCACATACACTCACAGTAGTTGTGGTGGTGACCACTGTGAGGTTGGGGTTCTGTACATTACGTGAATGTTAATAATGTTGGTGGAAACAAAGTGATTTGATGTTCCCTCAAAGTCCACATATGGGGAACCAGTCAAAGTAAACTGTAAACGCCTTACATAGTAATACACAAATACAAATATATCTTGCTATTATAGTACTTCTTCTGTTGGTCAGCTCAGCGAGTTTGCGACCTATATCGCAATTTTGCCTTCACGCGAAACTCCCAGTCATGAGCATTATAACATAGATAGATAGATAGATAGATAATTTAAAACCTTTCAAATGTCTTGTTTTTGTAAATTCATCAGTAAGTTACTGAAGTGGGTGGAAATGTTCTCACTAGATTAAAATGTTCTTAAAGTGAAAAATTTATCGTTGGTAAGTAAAAACTAAATAGGAATTTTACTGAAGAAAACGTGAGTATTGGATCGTTTTTAGAAAAAGGGCCTATGCATTTGTCTCGATAATTCTCAGAAGCCTTTTACTCTATAAAACGTAGGATGTGAGATATCATGTTATCATGTTTAATTCTCTGATGAACAGAGGAAAAAGGAGAGTGTGTAGTGCAATATCATTATAGAAGCAGTTTATGAGTAACTGGTTAAACCCATCTAAAATGGTCAAGGCTGCACCACTCTTAAAAATAAAGGTTCCAAAAGGGTTTTTTTTCACAGTGATGCCATGGAAGAACCATTTTTGGTTCCCCAAAGAACTTTTTAGTGAACAATTCTTTAAAGAACCTTCTTTTCTTAGTATGAAGAGCATTTCATAATCTAAAGAACCTTTTTTAATTCACTATAAAGAACATTTTTGTGCAATGGAAAAGTTACGTACTCTTAAAATATTTTTTTTTTTTTAAATTTAAATTGGCATTGATGGTTCCATGAAGAACCTTTAACATCCATGGAACCTTTCCATTCCACAAAAGGTTCTTTATAGTTGAAAAAGTTTCTTTCTTTTAAAAAAGTTCACTGAAAGGTTCTTTGGAGAACCCAAAATGGTTGTTCTATAGCATTGCTGCAAAAAACCCATTTTGCACTCTTTAAAATAAAGGTTCCAAAAGGAGGTTTATATATTGGGTTTCAAAGAAGCTTTCTGTGAACAGTTCTTAAAAAACATCTTCACAATCTGAAGAACCTTTTCCACTATAAAAAACCTTTTGTGGAATGGAAAGGTTCCATGGATGGTAAAGGTTGTCCGTGGAGCCAATGCCAATAAAGAACCTTTATTTTTAAGAGTGTGGAACCTTTTTTTTAAGAATGCATGGAAATTAATGCATGCACGCATAGATACCAGTAAATAACTTTTGTTCTTTGGAGCACTTGTCAGCTTGAGCAACTTAAATCTTAGTGTTTTTTTTTTTTTTTTGATTTCCGGAATATTTTGAGAGGATATGTTGTGCAATCCTAATGTTAATGATAAGGCTTTCAAAAACTGTAACTCATACAGAGAGAAGATGGCACTGGCTGTGACAGTTTTCTTTTTATTGATGCTCCGAATAAACAAAAGAACACAAAAGAACCTCTCTATGCGTTCGTTACCAAGGGTGACCCGGCTGTGCTTCAGATCCCCTGCATGGATGAAGTCGCAGACGTCACTGTTTATGGGTTAAATCCGGACAAGTCTCAGGTTGTGAGCAATTACATCTTAAGACATTTTAACACTGCAAATTTCATAATTAATATTTCAAAAAATCAAGAGTATTTCTCTGAATGCAGAAAGAATGGGCTGCTTATGGAGAAAAGACGCTTTCATGTGATAGTTTGTGCTCAGAAGGAGGAAAAAGAGACAATGCATTATCTAAAGGTTCCCTATCAGATGACGAATTACATGAAACATTGAATGCGACGACCAATAACTACTCTTTGGTCATTCCTCACCTCTTGCGAGCCACACTGGAACATACGCCTGTTACTCACAATTAGAGAGATTTAATGATGCCAACATTTTTGTTTGTTCCATACTCAATCCCATCGATATCACAGTTGCTTTGGGTGACAGTGCTGATTTGATGAGCGTTTTCAATCTGCCACACTTTCCCAGAGTTCAGTGGTACAGGGAGTACAATCAAAGCTCAGACTATCTGCTAGTCGACAGAAAAGATCATTTTGTTAAAGAAGACATGAAGAAGCGGCTGAATGCCTCCGACCCCAATCACATTACCATATCAGAGCTTTGGATCCAGGACGGCGGCTCATATTGTTGCAGGGTTTGGGAGTTAAATGTGACCCTGGACCACAAAACCAGTCATAAGTAGCACAAGAATATTTGTAGCAATAGCCAAAAATACATTGTATGGGTCAAATTTGTCGATTTTTCTTTTATGCCAAAAATCATTAATATATTAAGGAAATATCATGTTCCATGAAGATATTTTGTAAATTTTCTACTGTAAATATATTAAAACTTTATTTTTTCATTAGTAATATGCATTGCTAAGGATTTCATTTGGATAACTTTAAAGGTGATTTTCTCAATATTTCGATTTTTTTGCACCCTCAGATTCCAGATTTTCAAATAGTTGTATCTCAGTCAAATATTGTCCTATCCTAACAAACCATACATCAATGGAAAGCTTATTTATTCAGCTGGACACTTTCTATTTTGTGCATGCTTCTCTGATGAGCCTAATGTTGGGGATGATATCTGCAGTGGTTTTTGTCACGATAGTAACTGATGCACAGGGGAACTTTGTAATGACAAATATGACTAGAATAGGCATACAGGCTTACAGTGGGGTCCAAAACAAGTTCATATTGTTTATATAGAAAATATGTGTTGTTGTTGTTGTTGTTTTAAAAAAGTTAAAATAAATACATTCTCACATCAACTCACTTATATTTAATATAGTTTATTTCTAGGTGAGTCAAGTGACATTGATCATCACACTCTTTGTATACACTCTAAAAAATGCTGGGTTAAATATAACCCAGCATTTTTTAGAGTGTAGATGGATCTCTTGTAGTTCCTTGGATGGACAGAATTAATAAAATGTATCATCATAATGCATGAATGAGCATATAGGTATACAGTATGTTAATTAGTTAAAAAACGTAATTGTTATAAAGTTTTTTTTAACTGTGACTAAAGGTTTTTCTTTTTTATACTGCAAAGGAAAAAAATGGATTGAAATAGTCTACACGTAACATTAAAAAAAGTAAAGGGAAAATATACAGAGGTAAACAAAGGATGCCTCAATCAGCAAAAAATAAAAGATCACAGTCCTTAAGAAATTTGTTGTTCTTATTATTTTTTATGAGTTTATATAATCTCAGCAAGAAAGAATTTAACGAAAAGTATTCTTGTGAAAAAAAATAAATAATAAAGAATAATTTCTTTCAGAGAGTTGAAAGCTAGTTGGATAAATATTATGCAGTAGCCTATTTTAAAATGCTACTTGTTAGAAATTCATTAATATATGTACGTCTTTGTTGTGTTTTCTTTTGATTTATTAAGTATTATTATTAGTTATTAAACTGTTTTTGTCTTTATTACTTTTTTTCGCTATGATATCTTAAGCTGTTGTTATTCTGAATACATCGATCATAATAAAAAGAATAAAGCAATCAAAGCGTGTTTTCTACATGTTTTATGACGCTGACACCTCGTAGCTAGGAAACAGGCTCCGTCATCAGCGTACATGGTTACAGCGGCGCAACCAATCGTTTTTCACGATTGGTATGATTGACGTGTTGAGTGGGCGGGTTCAGGGGGAAAGAGGCGGAGCTTGACGGAGGAAGCTGCTCGAACAAATCAAGCGAAACAAAAGCGATTCAACGGAATATTGTGGGATTAAACTGACTAAATGGTGAGTTAGTTAAACGGACGATACACTTATATATCTAATTTAGCCGTTTAAACGCATTTATCTGTTTAAAGTCTGTCGAAATGTGCAGCTGTGATTTAAAAACAGGCTGGAGGCGAGTTAACACAAAGTTAATGTATTAGTTCAGTTCTCTTGAAACTTGTTTACAGGCTCTATTTTAAAAGTAACATAGTTTAGTTGCCATATCATTAAAAACCTTTTAGAAATATGTAAAGTACGTTAAACCATAAATGTCTGCAGTCCAAAACAATACGGCTACCTTGTTTTTGGACATGGTACCTTGTTATTTATAACTTATTGTCTATTCTCTTCATTATTAGTGTTTTTATTACCATAATTATATGTATGTCTGCACTATGGAAGCTCCTAACACCAAGACGAATTCCTTGTGTGTGTAAACACTTGGCAATAAAGCTCTTTCTGTTGGTGATTCTGATTAATAGTGTGTTTAAGTACCAATGTAAATACTGTGGTACATATATAGAAGTACTATAGTATTGCTGTCATTGTACCATGGTAACACCACAGTACGTTCTTGTAGGGATCTCCTGGTTTTGTTTAACATGTGTTTCTCTGTGTCCTCAGGTTTGCTGATGATGTCGACCTTTCCATCTTCTTCCTCCAAGAGTTTGACCTCCACCCCGCTCAAGTCCAGACCCAGCGGCCCGAGCAGCGTCCTGCAGCGCAGCAGGAGCCTGGAGTCCACCGGAGACTCGACGTCCTCGCTGCTGTCACCCATCTATCACGACAGCTTTGAGAGTTTGACCTCCACCCCGCTCAAGTCCAGACCCAGCGTCCTGCAGCGCAGCAGGAGCCTGGAGTCCACCGGAGACTCGACGTCCTCGCTGCTGTCACCCATCTATCACGACAGCTTTGAGCTTTCAGAGGAGGAACCGGAGTCAGATCAGCCACAGCCCGTTCACAACATCACCGTCACGTCAAGTGAAGACGTCGCACCAGGCTCTCCATACAGGTGAGCGGTGTTGAGTAAAAGAAATAGAGACTCGCACTATAACAAACCAGCACACCAGTCATCTCGAGTCATAAAATCTGACTTATTTGCAGGGATGAGGTGGACACAACAGGTCTGGAAGACAGATCGTCAAATGTGCAGTTCAAACTGAGTGCTTGGGAGCAGTGGATTGTGGATAAAGCCAAAGAGGAGCGTATCAGAAAGCAACAAAAAGCCATGGAGGTACATGGCACTACTGCACGAGTAGTTACAGTATAAGGATATTTTATGTTAATATAATTATTTTCAGCAGTTTTTAGATACATAGACATTTTATTTTACTTTTATATGCACTACCATTCAAAGTTTTTTTTTTTTAATAAATAAATTAATACTTTTATTTAGCAAGGATGCATAAAGTTAATTAAAAGTGACGATGTATAATTTTACAAAAGATTTCTATTTCAAATAAATGCTGGTTTTTTACATTTCTGTTCATCAAAGAATCCTGACAAAAATATGAAGCAGCACGACTGTTTTCAAC